CGGGGGCCCCCCCGGGTCCCCCGCCTCAGGAGGCGAGGGGCGCGGGCGGGCCCGTCTCCTGAGCGCTCCTGCCCTCCTCTGTGCGTACTTGTCCTCCCCAGGCGGGGGGACCCCGCCGGCAGCTTGGGGGGGATCGGGCAGGGCGAGGGCAGCGCTGGGAGCCGGGGCAGCACCGTCCCAGCAGGAGACCCGCGGGTTGACAAGTTATTTCACAGAAAAAAAGCGCCAAAAAAACCCCCAGCACCTTGTTGCTGCTTTTTATGAGTTATTGCCCCTGGAAGCTAAAAAGGGCTTTAATACGCGGGTTTCTTTTCCTGCAGAGACGGTAGGATCTTGGCTCACTTTAACGTGGTGTTTGTTTTGGGAAAAGCAGGGTAATTTTATCCTCTCCTGCTGATGGGACAGTCTAAGCAAGCGTTAAAATTCTGAACCGAAAGCGTTTTGTTGCCTCTTGTCTTAGTTGTTGATCAGTCCGTGCAAAGTATTTACGGAGGAGTGACAAAACTTGTCATTAAGACTCATAGTCCCAATGTGCTGTTGTAAAAGGTGCTTCTTTCATTTCCCAATGCCTGCCACGCACAGTAACGGACGAGATGGTTGTGGTTTTGTTTAGTACTGTGTGTGACCAAGATATAAAGATTATGATACAATAACCTAGACATAATTTTATTTGCTGTGGCTTTTAGAGGAAAAAAATCAGTTTGAATTCTTTTCACAATTGAATCATGGCAAATTATGTTAGGAGTTTATGGCTTTTAAATATGTAATTTTTGGTCAGGTGACCTAAATTCTAGTTTTGTCATTAGGTCAGACTAGCTCTATCTGTTCTGTTTTGTAGCTGTGAGCTGCCAAATCAAGAAGATCTTGTGAGCTTTGTTTTAGAGGCTAAGTAATCAGAGCTTAAGCGTTAGGCTCTACCAGTACCGTAGTTTCTCTTGCCTTGCTAGAATTAAGATGTAAGCCAATATAAAAGCAATTTAAAAAAAAAAAAAAAGTGACAGATTGGCCTTAGTGAGCTTGTGCCTCAGTTTCTACCTTCTTGAAACTGGACAGCTGTTTTCAGTGTGATGTTCTTAAAGCACTGCATCGGTACACATGTTAAAATAATCAACACAGTGTTTGCTGCGAAAATACAGTAGTTTTAAAATCAAATTCCTCTCTCTTATTGTGCACCTGGCTATGATTTTTGCAAAAGAGAGGAAAAAAATAATCAGGATTTTTAAAGTAACATTTTAGTCTGTGCACAGTATTTGCAGCGATGCATCGGTTTAGACCATAGTGGATCGCAAGGATGGTCAGGTCAGTAGAGAATTCAGGAAAAAAACAAGAGTTTGAAACTGTTTTACCCATCAAGGGTATACTGTGGTGATGCTTCTGTCTGCATTGAAAGATTTGATAAAAGCAGAAAGAAATAGTCAAGATGGGGGGAAGGATCATTTGTAGCCCATACAAAAGATAGCTTTAGGAGAAATAGTCTCTGATCAAATCACTAAACGTGGTGTGAAAAATCGCTGGGTGCAGTATTTTATTTAAATGTACTTCCTTTAAATAAATTTTAAGTTGATAAATACTGTGCTATAAAGGAAGGAAGAGACTGTGGGGTTCCAGAGAAGTATGCAGATATTTAGTTCGTACATAGAATTAGTACATATATATGGAAATTGTCCCCTGCTTTGTAGAAAAAAAAGTTGTACTCAAGTATTCACGCTATACAAACACAACCACACTTTTAAAAGTCTCATTCTTTAAAGAGAGAATGTGTAGTCAGCTAGCTAGTGCTAGGATATCTTAATCCAATTAAAAAAGGGGCTTTTTAGAACATTACCCTAGCTAGTCAGTCAATATTACTGTGTCTTTTCTCTTGACTTGCCTGCTGCAAGCATCCTCCTTGTTTTTTCAAACAGTAAAGGAAACCTATTCCTCCTGCTTTGCACTGGTGCCTTGCTGTTGTTTCCTTTTCGTATGTCATCAGCAGTTCAGGTGAACTTTTCTCCCTCTGAGTTGAAGGAACGAAGTCCAGGAATTAGGAGTTGTTCCATTAGGACGTGGCCAGACACTGATGCGAGGACCAAAACGTTCCTGTTGTACTGGGGAGCAGGCAGACAATTGAAAGGTAGCCTGATGCCCGAGTCCCTGATCATTATCTCAAGTCCGTAGGGTCAGCTCTTGAAAGTCATGTCTCAACATGGGCTATTTTCATCTCTTCTCTTCGCCTACCTTGGTGGACCCACATATGGTGCTGGAGTACTATGCTGAGAAAAGGTGTGTTCATTGAACCACAAAATTTCTTTGCCCTCCTGTTAAAGTCAGAAGAGTTAATCCAGATTTCTTCTGGTGCGATAGAGAGCAGACTTAGGCCTGTTAAATCTAATAGTTTGGGGGTTCCTTCCTTTTTTCCTCCCCTTATGAAAGAAAGCATAGTAAACATTTTTGGAGATGAGTTTCTGCACAGTTCAGGTTTTAGAATTAAACATTCCAGAGTCAGTCAAGTTAGAAAATGAAGCTTTTGCAGAGAGCAAGATGCAGAGAGGTGGTGACTTGAATTCAAGTCCTGTGTTCCATATCTGCAGTCTCTGATGCAGTAATTTGGGAAGTGAATTTGGGGGCACATGTATTATAGGCATTTGTTCTCAGGTACTAAGCCTAGATAGGAGATTCTTAAGTGTTCATGCCAGTTTCCTATTTGTATATACAGTTTTTATAGTAAGCATGTAGTGTAATTGGGCAGTTGGAGGTACACAGATGTGCTTTGACTTGATTACTGGAAATAACGCCTTTATTCACTCAACGACTTCCCTATTTGTTTTTTTAGTTTAGAAGAGAAAATGACATCTCTCCAACTTCTACCTCAAACCTCACATCTCTCTAAAACAAATGGTGGTTATCCTTTTTTGGTCCATGATCTTCAGCTGTTAGCCTTCTAGATGGTTACAATTCAGCTGATAGTTTTGTTGATGCTGTGATGCTGGGGTGTTGAATGCAGATGATACTTCTACATATATATTGTACTGTGAGAACTGTAGCAAAAACCTGATTTGTAGGAGAATAATTCAGATTTGGGAAACTTGATGCAAAGCTAGAAAATCATGCATCTTTCTTTTTTTATATAGAAGTTACTATTGAAATTTGATGTGTGTGAAGTACTAAATTGCCAGCTTTTTTTCAGAAGTTAATTTCTGGTTTATTTGCATGGGTCATTTGTAGGCTAACTCATTTCCTAGGGAAACTGTCAACAGAGCATCTTGCTAAAAACAGTTTCGTTATACTTTCATGGGCTGTGAGGCTAGTGGTGGAAAAAAGGTTTATTTGGGTTTCTTTTTACACCATTTATAGTTATTTTTAATGAGAAGTTTGACTGTAAAGCATTTGAAGGAACCGTAGATAATTTCCAAATGAATGTTTACATTTTGAAAGTTTCTTATCTTTTTATTGTAGCTGTGTTGTAATTATTAAGGCACTTGTATCAGCTTCAGTAAATGGTTCTCTAGTATTCAGTGTTTGATCTCAGATGTTCATGTTTGAACTTGTACAGCTGAATTTCATTTAAAAATGCCATTCTCTGAGAGCATGAAGTTAGTTGTGTTTAGAAGCGTAAAGTCTGTGGAAGTCTCAGTGTAGTAAGACCCCTGTAAAAACTGATGATTGTGTGAGAGCAGAATTTAGCTACCGTTTAACTCCAAACAGTGCTTGACTTCTAACTTAAATCTGATGAAGCAAATTTTAATGGTGTTTAAACCTGCTATAAAAACTTTGAATCTAAATTCTGTCTTTGTGCACATAGTTTTCACTGGAGCTGGGCATGTTCACCTAAAGGCTGAAAGAAGCCCTGAAAGTGTAAAGGCTTGTGTCAAAAAGCACAACGGCGAAGATGGTGATAACGGGTTTATAGATGGTTGGTTTATGATACTTTTTTTTTAACTTGGAACTCATCACATGGATCAGCTGTTTCAGACTTAACAAAATCTGCAGAATTTACCATAACAGATGACTCTAAAGATGATTATCAGTATGAAGAGGTAATTTACTAAATTGATAATCTTTTGATATATGTGGTAGAGTATTCATGTTTCATTCTTTTGTTTTACTTCATCAGTCATAAAAACATCCTAGGAGAAATGATACAAATCGCCTTTTATAAAGTGTGGTGATGCTAGGCATATCTTTATTTTTCAAGAGAAGATTTAGTGTCAGTTGATTTGTTATGTTTTACTTTCATTTGAATGTTAGATACTTTTTTTTAAAGATACAGGTATTTCTATTTAAATGTTTCAGCTTATTTATAATTAATATTTCAGTAATATAAATTCTATTTAAATATGGCAAAATATTACTTTAACGCGAACGAGATTATTTTCAGTAGTTGTACTGGGAGTGGAAATGGTTGTATTCGGAACGAAAGATGTATAAAATATGTTGATGCCTAACTTCAAATAATTTCATTTAGGTTCCATCAGATGATGAATTCAGTCTTCAGGAAGATGATGAGGATCTGTCAAAGGCTTTGCAGGCTATTCAAGAGCAGGCTGAAGATGCACAAATTTTAGTAAGAACTTCCTAAATGTTCTAAGACTCTGTAATTCAGTTGGCATTAGTGGCTTAAAATTTACACGTAATTTATTTTAATTATGAAATATTTGCATGGAAAAGATTGCTTCTTATTTTTTAGGTTTCTGAGGGTAAACGTATGCCACAGTGGAAAAGGCACCTTAATGTTTCCTGGGTTTCATCTTCCTTTAACTTTTGCTCATTTTATGTTCCATAACAACCTGATATTGCAAATACATGTTACAAATGTACAGATAGATTATTTAAAATATATTAATGTTATTACAGTGTATCAGTACTTTAGAGTTTGTTTCTTTATCTGAGTGGATGGAATGAGAATGTGATCCCTGATACAGGAAAGAAACTGCATGTGCTTAAGACCCACAGAAGCTTGTACTCAAATACTTTGCTAAAGAAGATTATTCATATATTGAAAATAAAGAATGGGCTGTTAAACTATGTTAAATCAAAATATTAATGAAATTATCAATCATTTCACACAGTTTTTGAAACTTCTTACATTTACAGTTTGTTTTCAAAACAGTCATGTAATGGTTCAGACTTACACAATAGGATTGTTGTATTGCATTTTCCAAAATGTGATTTGCCTGAATTTACTTGCTTATAACAATCTAATGGAAAAGTGCTTTTCCCTGCTGTGTTTCTAATATCATCACTATCTTACAGCCTCATCAGTAAGCTATTGTCATAGTCTTCGTTTTGCAAAAGCAAATGATTAATAATGAAAAGATAAAATTATCTGAATGATTCTTAACATCAAAATGGAGGAAAATGTACATTTTCTTCTGCACTAGTGCACATCAACAGATTAGTTTTGTATTTTAGATAAAACTTTGAATGAAAACTGACAATACTGGAGTCTTATGTGTTTTGAAAGTGAATATACCTGAAAAGATGGCAGACGTTTTAAAGACTGAACATGCTTGATGTTAACCAAGTAGTGGAAATTCTTAGTGTTCTTTAGAGATAACTGAAGTTATGTCTGTTTTACTGTGTGAGTTGACATTCAAATAAAAAGTGAAATAAGGAAGAATATTTTTAATCTATTGATCTTATGACAGTGCTATATTTAAATAATCTTTTACTTCTTTGTTGATTTGTTGAACTTTGAGTGGTAGGAAACAATATGCTAGTATCTATCCCATTTAATCAAACTGAAGAAAGTGTTACCTTTCCTTAAAACAAAAGAACGTGTGTGCTTAAATTCTCTTTGATTTTGCGTTTATGCTAATAGATGTCTGTCATCTTGCTTCTTGACTCATTATTTGGAGGTTTCATTTTTTCCCATAATTTTGAAACTGAAATAGTATTTCCAGCCTTTAAACAGAAAGACATGAATAGAAGAATATTTTAATACACCTGCTAGTTCCTTGACAGCTTTCATAATGCTTTACTGTATATTTTGTAAGGCTCAGTGACTAGATTGTTTGATGCTAATTTGCTGGGGAAAAAAAAAAAGTGCTGCAGTGAGTGCTTTTGGTGACCCAAGTTAGAAGTACTGTTTCCTGTGAATTAATCTTAAATCAATATCTAAACTCTGAGCTAAGCAGCACAGTAGAAGGCTGTCTTCACATGATAAATAATTGGTACACTTTTTCAATTATTAGCTTCTAATCTTGGCTAAAATAGGGTAAATTAGGTAATAACCATATCCTGGAATAGCTGCTCTGCGATCAACATTTTTAAGTGATTATGTATATTTGGTGTTCATAGTAACTTGTATACCTAATCCTGTATTAAAGATTGCATTTCAATATTAGATGCAAATCTTTTGGTTAAGAAAATAAATTATATAGAGAAGGCACAGATCAAGTGAGCATCCCAAAATATTTAAGCTATTTGCCAAATGCAGATACTGAAATTAGAAACTATGGATATTTATAGTAACTACAGTTTCTTGTACGCTGTGTAAAAAGGTCAAGTATAACTAGGAAAATCTAAGAAAAATGCGTATTTTCAAACTTCTTTGCAAAGTAATTAGCACTAATTACTAAATGAAGAAGAGCAAATGTAAGAAAATGAGAGATGGTGCTATTCACCTTTTTGTTTGTTTGTTTGTTTAAAATTGGTGTGTGGGAATTAAAGTGGATATTGAGACACATTTTCTTTCCTTCTGGATCTCTGTATAGGTGCCGTGAAACTAGTGGTCTTTAAGGAGTTTGGTGAGGCTCCCTCACCAGTTACAGTTCATGTTTTTGTTTGGATCCCAACAGGGGAATGAGGGTGATGGAGCTTTAATCTCTAAGTATCTTCTTCCCCCAGTCTGGAGGTGAAATGGCAGCTGATTCAAAACACAGCTGTGCTGGGCAACACATGGTTTGGATAACAGTGATTCTGCCTCCTGTTCCTGTTCTAGTCATCATTTGTCCTTTTCAGTTGCAACTCATTTTTTTCTGTTGTCCTTGTTTTGAGACATTGTAATATAATATAAATTATTTTTAAACACAAGCAATAGAATATTTTGCATATGAAAGAAAATTTTCTGCTGATACGGACCCTAGGAAAAGGATACAGAACTTCTGGAAAACGACACACACAAACAAAAACTGGCTGAAACACTTTCTTCAGTAGTTACAGCTATGACACTTCTATTCCAGGATCTTTATTTTCTTAATATCCCAAATGATAATCTGGGAGATATATATCTGATACATTGTCCTTCATTAACCTTATAGTTCATGTAGGTTTGATTTTTAATTTGTTTGAATGTATTAAAAATCCTTGAATTCACTTTTTATATTCTTTTTTTAGTTTAATAAGTTTTGCGAGAACATCTTTTTTTGCTTTCCAGAGAAATTATTAATTTATTTGGTGTTTATCTTTCTTCATTGGACAGAAATTCTTGTGAGTATTGGGGAAGTCCTTACAGTTAAGCTCTTATCAATTAATTTATTTTGCTGGCCATATTTGCAATCCTTACACTTAAAATGTTTTGAAGATTTTAATTAAAAAAAAATAACCAAGAAATATTTAACAAATATGTAACAAAGCAAATATTTAGTTTGTTTATTTTGACTTAATGGTCAGAATCCTTTATTAAAGTGTTTTGTCTGTATAGCTACTAAAAGAAAGTGGTTGGCCTAATATCACTCTCAAAGTCTGCAGAAGAGCTAGGAATTTAGTTCTGGTGTCCTGAGGCCCTGTTCCAATACTGTGCCTGTTAGACTGCATTCATTTTTCCGTATATTGTTCCCTGCTCGAGCTTTGGTTCCTGAAATGATTCTCAGTGCTAGTATCAGCTAATAAATTCTCTTCTGCACAGATGAAATGAATTCCTATCATATTTCCATTTATTAAGGGAATCAAGCTGTGTCATTTCTTCCGAAGACTGGCTTTATAGATGTGTTTGGGAAACTACAAGCAACAGTATTAGACATTTACGTCACTTAGAATAAAGAAAGAAAAGAAGCAAAAAAAGGGATGCAGCTGCATGTCTGCAGATGTACTCTTTGGTTCTTGTATTACCACAATTAGAAAATAGACCTGTCTGATGTACTGTATCTCTAGTATTGAAAATATGCTAAATATTACATTGCACTTGGCATATTGTATTATTCATAATACAGTGTTACATGGCCTTGATCGTACATGTACAATTCTTTGTTTATATTAGATAGGTTGCTTGAATTAAACACAACATTTTCTGTATTATACAAAATGGCTATGAGATTTTCCAGTGCAGGGCATGCTGCGTGTTTTTATTTTATCAAGAGAAATGCCTTTATCTGCAGGTAATTTATGCAGTCATGTTGATAGAGCTCCCACTAAGGGCATGAATAAGCCATAAATGGATGGAGTTATCAAAAATCGCTGGCCAACAGATTCTTTTTTAAATGGATGGAAGAAATAATTTGCAGTCACAGCCTTTAGCATGTCTTGATGAATATCTCACTGGATTTTTTTTCAGTTTTGCTAGTATTGAAGAAAGGAAGGTAGGCATGTGTGGAAGTGGTATTTTTTTTTTTAATAATGTGTAGCTCACATTATCATAGCATCTGAGTTTCTTTCAAGAGTGCACTGTGTGATAGTTGTCAAGCTCAGGTTTGTTCTGTCATCCTCTCACTAGGAGGACAGGCATATGCAGTATCTTGTCTTAGCAACCTGTGTTGTTGAGCAAGTCCATTGTAGCATTGTGCCCATGTGGGGTTCCCAAATGCTGAGACCCTTATATTTAGGTGTGTCAAATTGCTGTAGTCCATTTAAAGTCTGAATTAAGGCCACCTCTTTGGCTGCCAAAGTGTGGCAGTCTCTCTCATCTGGTTATCTTTAAATGCATTTTGTGGTGGGGGGGGAGGGGAGAGGGGGTTAGTCTCAGACTGGGTCATATTTTACTTTTTTCATACCTCCTTGCATCTTGAAATCTCTCTAGGAGAGCTTAATATCAGGCTATGCACTGAGTGGGCTGAGTGAGGTTCAGTGAAGGAAAGAAATCTGCATTGCAACAGAAAGCTGTGAAAGGGATTTTTTTTTTTTTTTCTCTGTAGTAGGATTGCTCTGTTTTGTTTTGATTCTGCTTTTGGTAACTGTGCTTGACCCATGAGCTGATCATATCTGAATAGCTGTCTGTCTTGGTGGCACTGGAGGAGCTGCGTATGAAGCCTCAGTGTACCATCTGCATTCTGCTAACACTTGTAGCAATGTTGTCTGGCAGCTTCATTCAGTGTCTGCATATGGATGTTGAGAAGAAAAGGGAGAATTGATCTTTGTGAGACTTCTTAAGAGTTCTAATGATGGAGATGCAGTTCTTTCAGTCTTTCTATTGCATGCATGATTACAAAAAGAATATAAGCCGTTTTACTATCACCTTGGACTTTTGCATTTTTCATTAGATGAAGTACTGATTTTTCTCATCAGTAGTTTTGAAGGGTGCTGAAGGGTGCAGGAGTCTGAGAACTAACATTTTCTCGCTGGTCAGTGACAGAAGATCATCCATCAGTTTAAATAGTTTCAAGTCCATATCAGATTATGTCAGGTTCAGAATACTTAAATCAGGTGATTTTTGAGTTATTTCTCATAACATTTCACAGACCTGGCCATTAGAAGGATCAGTGATTACAGATCTGATCAGTAAAGACAAGGAAAACATTCAGCTGTACTCCAGTACATCTGTGACTTTAGATGACTTCAGAAATAGAAGGTATGATAATTACATTTCTCTTGCAGGTTTAATAATAATTACCAAATTTTAATTTCAGGCTTTGCAATCAGTTCTGACTTCTGAGAAATCGGTGTCTGAAATACCTGAAGCAATGGATGACTTCATCTGCAATTTCCTGGTCAGACTGGGAATGTCCAGAACCCTTGACTGCTTCCAAACTGAATGGTAAAATATTTTAAGTGGCGATGTTACTTTGAGAATTAGGAAAGGGATGCTTAGGATTCAAATATTTCTAGTATTTCAGGATGTATTTCCAGAAAACTCCTCTGAGTACAAGTCATTCTTAAATACATTAAATACCTAATAAATTTATTCATGTTGAGAATGAGTATTGTTTTAAAACTATCGGTTTTTATTGTTTTAAGGACAGACTTCAAAGAAAGCTGAGTCCAGGGATCTCCTAAACGGGTACCTTTGAAGGACTGTATGCATTTCACCTAGCTCTAGACATTTACAAGCCTGAAGTGGTCACCTGAGGTGTCTTTTGTGACCAGTAAAGAGAGATACTCATTTTCAGGATGCAACTCAGCTGAGTTGTTTAAGCCATTTCCTTTAAGATTAAATGAATTCAATTATTTTTTTTCAAGTATATTCTGCTCTTCACTGACTACCAATGGAAACTAGAAACCAGCTGCAGTTCAGAAGTCATCATTGGATCAAATGAGTCCAATGCAAAATGACCAGCATTTCATTTCAGCAGTGTTGAGAAACCATATATGGCTTTGTTATTTTCTTGCTTTCCAGAACCAGGGTGCCTGCTTAAAAACTGAATGTTTTGTAGTATCGTATAGTATTTTCACCTTACTTGTTTGGGTATTTTTGGACATTCATCATAGGTACCTTGCATTTTGAAGTAGAATAATCACAATTTTTGATACTTTGTAATTTTTGGTACATCAGTCAAAATAATATGGTTGGCTAGTTTGTTTTTTTTCTTTTTAAAATTTAATTCATATAGTAAACAGAAGACTAAACTCTGGAGCTGTTGCTATCTTCTTTTTCCCAGCTTTTATAGATTGCAGAGATTTTGTCCGTACTTCTTGCAGAAGTTCAAAAATGCAACTTTGTCTAAATACTCCACTTCCTCCACCTCCTTTTTGGAGCAAAAGGTTGTGCTTGTCATAGAGTCCTATTGAAATACTTTCAGTTACCAGCTTGCTTTGAATCTGCAAGCTACATTGGAAAGATTCTGAGAAGTGGAAACACCTCTCTGAATTACCTTGTAGTCAGCCTTTAAACATCAGAGGTTCAGAGATTTGTTAATAATGTCTTTTGAAATTGTTTAATTTGAAAATTAGTAAATTTGAAAAGTTAGGAACATCTTTTTTTCTTACAAAAGCCTTGAAGCTTTTACATTTTCTCAGAAGTATTCTCTAATGAGGAAATCATTGCTGCTGTTTGCAAGGCTGTGATCTTATTAGTGTAGAGCTCACCAATCAGGTGTTGCCTTTGGAATTAATAATGATCTGGTTTTTGATAGCATAACAATGTGACTTAAATGATTCCTTAGAGAAGGGGCACTATAGTTCTGTATTCTTTTTCAACAACAGAACCGATATGAATAGTGTTAAGTTTGAAGCAGTTTAACAGTTTTTATGGAAAATATAATTAATACTAGACAGATATAAATAGTGACCTTTTTATGAAACTACAGCTTTCTTTGAAGCACTTAGAGTCTGAATTTATATCAATGGCAAAATTCAAATTGCTTTTTAACAGAGCAAGAGCAGGTCTTAGTAGGCCCTATCTTGTAAATCCTTACTGTACATATATTTTTTTTTTTTCTCTATAAGTAATTTCAGTAGCATTACAAATGAGCTCAGCATGTCAGGATCTAATCTTACTGTATTGAGACTTTTTCTGCATTAATACCTTATTTCAAAATGTTTCATGTTGGTTTGAAATAGATAATTTACAATATTAATGAAAGTGAGAGCAGATTAGTGTACTCAGGTTCCTCATTATGTATTGGGACGAAACTCTCGCTCTCATGCTGTGGTGATCAAGTACTAATGGAATTTAAAATGAGAAATTAATTAACGTAGAGAAAATTTATCAAAAGGCTTGCTTTGAAATAATTGTCTGTCTGAGATCTAAAGGTCACTTAAATTGGACCAAATTATCTGTGTTTATTTCAGAGTTTGAGAAAACATTCTGTTGTTCTACCCAGCTGTATAAAATGTCATGATTTGATTGTTTTATTTTAAGCCAAACCCACTCTTTTGCTATGATGTCATGAATAATTTTACCACACTTGTAGTAATTTTTTTAACTTAAGTATTTTTTTGCACATACACTTTTTTCTTCCAGTTACACTTTAAGGAACTTAAAATTAGACTTAAATTATTTTTAGAATATCTAATTTATCATTAAATTTTCTATTCCTTTGATATACAAGACTTTACAGTGCTTTTGTTGCTTATTAAAGATACTGGATTGACAGCTTTGGAGTATGAAGTGCAAGGGCTGATCAACTGTAAATTCATGCATCTGACAGTCTATACCTCCTAATCCCAAAGAGCTCACTGCTGCTGGCAGCACGTTGCCAGTCTGATGAGCAGATGAATCATTTGCTGTTCACACATACGCACAGAGCTATCACTGCGATTAGTTAGTACACTCATTGGGCTGGTGATCTCTGACTAAGTGTTCCTAGAGACCTGGTGGTGTTTCAGCTTGTGAGTAAAAGGAGAGCTGCAGACTAATTATGGAAACATGATTTGAAAATTCTTTTCTGTATGATGTGGTTAAAATTAAGAATAAACTTACGTGACCAAGCAAGGTTAAAAGCTATGTCTGTCTTGTGTATGCTGTGCAAAGATTGCCTGGGTTGTGCATAACGGAGCACATGCAACAAAGCTACTATGTCTTCTCTGAGCATAAAGGTAGACTTGTTACAAAAAAATTCCTTTTTGCAGAATGAAGAAAATGGATATAGGTTGTGACCCTCCATGTCACAACTCCCTGAAGACAGTGGAAACAACCTGCTTATTTCACGCAGACCTAAGCTTTGTCTGCTCTGTGTCCTCTTTGGCCTGGAAATCATATGGTCACATTATGTGTGTTGTGCTCTGAGTTCATAAATCCAGAGAGAAATGAGAGTTATCGGTTCCAGGACAGCATCACGCTAAAACAGATTCAGTTTTTGGATTAGAATGGGCTCAGAACACAAGTGAAGTAACCTCAAGTTTGATTTGTAAAAAGCCATGTGGACATACCTGCTTTCTTGCCTACATAACAAGCATAACATGATAATATAAATTTTCTACTTATGTGGTATAATAGATTGAAGGAGTACACTAGGGCAAAAAGGTGCTTTATTTTTCTGTGCTTATTTCTTTCTTAGTGTTCTGTTGAAACTGCTTAAGAGGTTATCAGTTGGAATGATAACTTTCAGTAAGAAGTTCTTGTAAAAGCTGCAACTTGAAATTTTAATCCCTAAATGTATCTCTAGGTGAGTTACCCCTTGGTAAGGGATTATCCTGAGCTACATACCAGTTAGTTTATTGCAGGGCCTCTCTGCAACCTGAATGCTTTAGAACTCTTAGAAACTTGAATTCAATGTAATGTATATAGTAATAATGTATTATTTTTAGTCAGTCTGCACTGGGCTTTGATCATAAAATCATAGTTGACCATCTGTTCCTTAGGTTTCCAGATGCTTAGTTAATTTTAAATAGCGATTCAAGAATAATAACTCAGTTCTGAAAAGCTTAGAAAAATACCTGTGTGTGCACGGAACTAACTAATTTAATTTGCATCGCAGTTTCTTTCTATAATGGAAAGAAGTGAGAACAATAGCTATTTGGCAGTTGGCTAGGTATGTAGGAGTTCCATAAGTTTTACAGGACTAGGTTGATGAAAGATAATGAGATTTCACAATCCAATTTTGTTGTGTGGTTTTTTTTATTCCGTTTCTGCTACATGCACAAAAGCCTTCATTTTCAGTAGTGTTCTTAGACAAGGGCATAGTGAATTTGTTGGTATTAATTGTATTTCATTAAAATTGCCTTTCAGAGTTCTTAGCACTGCTGGAGGCTAAGTTCATCAATTATCCATGTCTGATGTGTCTTCATGCAGAAATTTGATGTTTTTCATGAGGTGCAGTTAGGGCATTCAGTGGAGAAATTTTTCTGGCAAATAAAGGAGTATGTAGAGTTGTGATCATTTGCAATGAGAAGTGCTCTTATTTGCAGTATTTCCAATAGGTATTGTACCTGCTCATCAGTCAATGTTTATTTGGAGGAAAAAAAAAAAAGACTAGGCTTCTTTCTTAGTAGTAAAGCCTGTTGCTACTGCAATTTGCTTAAGAAAATGAAGTGATGATAGAATGAATTTTGCTTTGGACATGCTCAGTTTAACTTTTCAAAAACCTTTCATCTACTGGTGGTGAATGTGAGTGACACTTGAATTCATAGGGATGAGCATTTTCAGAAGTATCCACAGAATGCAAATAAGTAGCTGACCGTAGGAAGCTCTCATTTGGACATAAGAGTTTCTAACATTCCCCTTAGGTTTTTTTGGAGGATGTTAAGTAAAAGTTGCTTGTCAGGTAAGAATCCCTTATACTACAAACACTTTTTGTTTCTGCAACATGTTTTATTGATCTAGGAATGCTGTGCTTACTGTCTTCAAGTTTCAAATCTGTCTGAGTGCAGGAGATAGCATTTAGTGTGTATTTTTTGTCTCTAATTACTGCTGTTCTTTTCATACTTCCTCATTACTTGGGAAAAAAAATGCACAGATTCAATGTATTTTTCACCTGAAAAGGCAAATAGTGTTTATATTATTCCTTCCAGTGAGTTCAGAACATCTTCCAGCTGCAGTCAAGATCAGCAGGGAAGAAGATTGTGGGGCTATAGTCTTTATCTGATACAAATTATTTATAGCTCCATTGAGCCTATGCTGAACTGATATCATGGCTACAGTAGTGCACAATGACTTTGTCTTCAGTGGGTCTATAAAAGTTCGTACCAACTGAAGGTCTTGCTCTTCTGTCTTCCAGGACAGAAATAGACGAAGAAATAGATGTTTTGTACATACACGTACTGGATGCTGGAATCACTTCTGCAATGTCTGCTCGCACAGAACCATCTTACGCTCGTATATGTAGACTTGAATCTTGGTGTCCTTTGAAATACTTTGACAAATACTGATAGCTTATAATCATTCCTTGAACAAGCATGATTCTGTAGAAGCATTTATTTTGTGTAGCAACAGTCGCATTTTTTTGATCAAATTTAGCTTTTTTGAATTCTTTCTAATATCGCCACTCTCTTTTTTGTATAGAAGATACTTAGGTACTTTCAGTTGCTCTGTATTTAAATACCTTTAAATTAAGCCTAAAACGAATGATGTCAACACCTGCGTTCTTTTTACTGCCTGTTAGATTATTCTTAGCTTTTATTGACATCCTACCAAAAGAGGGATAGTCCTAAAAGATATGAGACTGACTGACTGGACTTTATTGCTGGGGGCCATAGAAATTCATAGGTTGCTACACAGCATTACATGCTGCTCCGGATTCTCTTTGACTTCTTTCTCAAAATGCAAGTTAGTCTGTGCAAGTATTTAACTAAATCAGCCTTCAGGCTTCTACATCACGGAATCATGTTTTCTCGGGGGCTGGTAAAATAGGTAAATATTGGTAAATATAATTAAATAAGGAGAGGGGAACATAAGTAAACAGGAAGGAATGAAGAAATTTCCCTAGGTGAGCTCTGTATTCCATGTTGAAGATAGCTCATAGAATCATTCATCCAGGTTACCTGCAGCTTTGTCATCCGAGTCCTGAAAAAAAAAAAAAGAAATCTTGCATATATTTGAGCGTAAGAGATAAAAAGGATTATGAGTGTATACAAATGTTATGTGAACAAGAATATTTTTTTCTGTCTTTCATTTAAGCTATTTGGAAGAAAGGAAGGAAAAGAACAATTGTTTAAATTGAAGTACTGTGTTACACAGGACATGTCTTTTGACTATTATGAACAATAATACATTTTAGAATGAAAACCAGTGAAATAGAACGCAGTGTGGTGGGATAGTACTGTTGCTAATTGTTAGTGGTCATAAAAGGTAAATGCCTTGAGATGATAAATACCTTTGTGATTCTAGTTTAGGTAAATGCTAGCATGAGACGGGAGATACCAGTGAAGTGAGAAAAAGGAAACATGGAATAAAATATTTCTTCTTTTCTTTTCTACTAGGTATGAACTCATACAGAGAGGTGTGTTCGCAGCCAAAGATATTGGATTGGTTCCAACTGTATGTACCCGCAACCAGCAACTTGAAGCTGAGAATATGCATTTGAGGAAAGATTTGGAAAACTTTAAACTTGCTGCAAGGTATGTTATTTGGTCTTAATGAAACTTTGATATACAGTAGTAAATGGCCAGATAAAGTAAACCCAAGTACTTAATGGAAATAATAAGTTCCTGTTTGTTATGCTGGCTGAGCATATTTTTACTTCTAGGTGACACTTGTAATTAAAATTCAATTTTCTCTAAGCTCTATTAGAAACCTAAATCTTAATTTCTTTTATTTGTATTTAGTGGGCTATAGAAAATAATTTTCAATATCCAGTAATCACAACAAATTATTACGAAGAATCACGAGAATATAATATGTAGAACTAGAAAATAAATGGTTATGTGCATTTGGTATTAAAATACAGCACTATAAATTACAGCTACCACAAAACATCAACATAGGAAAAAAATCACTATACATTTATTCTTCATTTTTTTAATTGCAAAAAATGTATCACTCTGGCCCTAGTGGTAAATGGTATGTCAGCGTAAATTACCATCATTGATTATACTTGTGTGTACGTTGTAGTAGCTGATTTTACAAGCCAGTTGTACTTCAGTCATAAGAGAGTTAGAATATTTAGCCTGTGTAATGGAGATGCAATAATGAACTACATGTAACAGTCTTGTCTGAAGAATGATACGTGTGTATGTGTTCATTGAGAATTTACCCTGAGACCTAATAATGCACTCACTTTGGTTTTGCCAGTGCTTAGTTTTAAAATATCGAGCCGTAAAAATTTTAACTCTATCCTTTGATTTTCCTCAAGCTACTAATTTTCATTTAGATTGTTACTTTATACGAAAAATAGCTGCTCAGATCTTAAATAATCATTGCTGCTGCTAATAACGATAGTCAAATTATTTTCCAATGATAATGATTTATTACATTTTAAGTTAATAAATTAATTGGCCATAGTCTAATAGTTAAGTAAACAGCTTTAATAAGCAAGTCAAATATTGTGTAGTCTAAATATACTGTTGCACTGGGAGATGGGCCATATAGAAAACATTCCTTTATTTTAATCTACAGCTTCTTTGGACAATGGATAGTTAGGGATTGTCTCTCCTTTGAGTGGGAGAGTAAGAAGCAGTAATGCATAGTAAAAGAAGGAAAGATGAAAGCTGGTCCTTCTGAAATTTATTATTGTAATTTTAACAGGCTTTCCTTTCTTTTATTATCCCCCATATTTCTCTCTTTCCTGGGTTTGCTGCATTGCTACATCATTGTTTAAGAACATAAATCTCAAAACCATTTCACCATGCTCATGAATAAGTTGGGTTTTTCCCATAAGAATGTCTATATACTCTCCAGGGTGTCAGAAATTTTTTTTTTATAGCAGATGTCTAGTTAAAAGGCGGAAAGATAACATGATATTGTGCAACAGGAAGAAAGCAGGAGAGGGAAAAGACATTGCCAATATGCTAGGCTAACTGTTAAATAAAACTCCCAACACTCCCTTAAGTGAACTGTGCTAAAAAAAAAAATAAGTAAATCCATGAACTGAAACCATGCCCTGCTTTTTCACATTCTAGTGTTTGATGAAACCTGGTGGTAAACAAGTGAGTCATGTCACCTGTTCGGTATTCCAGAGAGGGCAGTGAGATATAGAGCAATTTTATATGACACTAGTTAGAAGTGGGTAAATTCTGTTCATTGGCATTTACTGTTGAATACTGTGCTTATTCTGCATGTACCGTGTTAAAAAACTATTAAAATGAGTCCTTCTCCCTCCACTTGTAGGGAGAGCTTTATTTTCTTAGTCTTTCTGCTAATATTAGGATGGAGTATATGTAGATGTAAAACTTGGTTTGTGCTAATGGTCACTACTTCATTTTTTCAACCTTTTTATTTCAAATAACTTTCAAAGTTTTCATTGATGCTAATGTTAAAGTTCAGCACTTTTGTGAAATTCATTGCACTTGTTTTGAATAATTTATGAATTAAACCAGTACTGTTTCTGGAATAATGGGTGAAATTGAGCATTTCAGCTGTATATACCATGAGTTAGTGTTCCTTTGTGTCTTTTGGATAAACCCTGATCATAATCCTCTATACTAAATCCATTTACTGTAGTGGCTGTTAACAGCATTTTTTTTTCTTGTTTGTGCATTCAGTAACTGTAGTTGGTACCCTTGCTATGATAAAGCAAATCTTCTGGCAGAAGCCAAAATTACCTGGAGGACAACTTGAATTTTCAAGTATTGTGAGGGAGAATTCACCAGCTTCACTGAAAACAGAATGCCTAAGAGCACTAAAGAAATGCTGGTTTGACTAGTTAGAAACCAAGGATTTGTGAGCAAAGCAAGTCTCATATTCTGCTCTGTGGATTAGTCAGAAAACTTTCATTGTGAGATACAGTGCTGTGAACTGTATTTGAACAAAGCTTTTAATTACATTTGGTATTTCTGAGCTTGGTACTCTTTACAACCATCTTGCAGAAAAAAGATGTTATTTGGGACTTAGGCAGTATGAGGGCCCAGGATAAACGACTGTAAACTAATTATGTCCTGCTTTAATGTTGTTTAGCAATTGGTGGAAGAGATTCACTATCTAGAAGCTAACTGTAATTGTATTTTGGGTATTTTAATATAGCATTTACATGATTGCACAGCAACTAGGTGGGCAAATAGAGTAGATTGCAGACTGTTGGTTACATTTTGCTGTGGCTTTTCATTATTTAAAGAGAAAATCACAATCAGCTTCACTTCCTGTATACAATGAGTATATATATTTTAATAGGTTGTCCAATGTCTGAAGGCATCTTGAGATGCAACAAAATCCCTGATTGCATACATTAAAAGAAATAAATATCAGCATAATTCTTTTACTCCAAAGCTAGTGCTAGTTATTACCTTAAGGTTTAGATGCACTACTGATCTTTATTTAAATGATTTCTAAAACCAGCATTGTGTTGTGAAAGAAATCAAAACTAATTTTATGTTGGTTTGCCATGTGACAGTATTTAAAGTATACCTTAAGTGTACTCCCTTTCTCTTTCTTTTGTCTTGAAGGCTACAGTTGAGCCCCGATTGATTGGTAAGGGATGTTGTTATCTGCTGCAATATTTCTTGAGTGGAAGCACAGATATTCTTTCCAATATGCCAGAAAAAATTGGAAACATCATCTCTGAAAACTAACAACTCTTACAGGAGACTAGTTAATTCATTGTCTTCAGTGATGATTTGTGTTATTCAAGCATTAATATTCTAGTAATATTTGCTTGTGAATTGAATAATAGATTGTAATTTCATAACAACATTAAACTCTGCCTCTCTGATGATTTAAAATAGCTTGAATCCCATATATTTTGGTGTTTTCCTGTGGCCGGACCCTTTGTATTGCCCTTGTATTTGAACATTTAGGTAGACAACATAATGGTATATCAGTTTTAAGATTGTGTTAATCACAGGGACTGCTAACTGTGATATTTGTAAGTTCTTTAAACATTCAGGAATTTATTAGGTAGATGGAATGAAAGTTGTGTACAGCTTTTGAATGAAGTTTGTAACTCTGTTCAGAAACATCAGTTAGGAAGTTTAAATACTTCCGTGTATCTTTCTGTCCTGATTTTTGGAAGCATGCTCACAAATATACGCCCAGTTTACAGCCACAGTAACACTGAAAATATAAAGCAATCCTGGAAATCATATTTATTATTACTGTTAGTGGTATCAGCAGCAATAAAATCCTCAGCTGATCTCCTATTTCTGTGCCAAAATCTAACCGTTCCTGCACATATTTCTCCACTTATACAATGAAACAATAAAGTGCATGCTTCTTGTATTGTGCACCATATTTAAATGCATGTTTAATTATGTGGTATGTTTAGCATCCTTGCTGCTAAATGCTATAGAACCTAGATGGAGTAAAAGCGTGAGAGTATGCTTTCTAAAACTGTCTTTATTTCGATTAAAATTTTAGGGCTACAACCTGCAGCATGTTGGGGAATAAAGTCCCACCTAAATTCAGTGCGAACAGGGCATGTAATTCACCTTTGAAAATCCCTACTTGATTTTATTGGACCTTGCCCTCTTCTGCTATTTTTATCAAACTACTTGAGAAAATTTTAAATGGAGACACCTGCAGTCTTTGACATATATCTTAACTAAAAGAAATGGATATTGGCTTTGCTTTGGCTGTAGCAACATCTTATACTCTCAGAACAAGTCATCTGCTTAGCTCTGAAGGGGCAGGTTTTGTATTCGAGATCTTATGGCAAGTCGGACTTTGAGAGTGGCGTCATGATGGAGTTGTTTCACAGAACTATCCCGAGACCACTGATTCATTTACCTCTCAAATCTTTTGCCGTTCATGGGAGCTTGAGCAGAATCATAATCTGTACTCTGTATCCCATATCCTAAGTTACTCTGTTTCACTACTTCTGGTATTTGTGCACATGCATACACAAAACTATCTGCATGCCCACAGCTCCTTTGAGCTTTTCACAGTGTTGCTGCAGGGTCAGCCCTGCCTGTTTTCATTTACCTGCCAGCTTTTTCTCAGCTTTGACTGGTATATAGTGGCATTAATTCACTGTGCTCTTCTTCAGGTCTTTCTAACTGTTCCTGCTACAAGCAACAATTCACATGTAAATGTACACATCTAATATGGTAGTTTGTATAGGTAATAAATATAGCAAATGCATGTATAGTAAATATAAATTATTTGTACAATTAAATATAATGCACTGGCAGTTATGGGTCTTCTTCCTGGACTTGTGATTTTGGCATACTCCACTGTTATAGTGGTTTTCCTAACTCCTCAGGTCCTGTTGGAGAGGAAATGAGCTTTATTTTTGCAAAGACCAAATATCTAATTTCTGTGCAAGGTAATTTCAAGCTTCCTTTGCAATTAAACAATTCATCTGCTAATCTTTCCTGCCAAACCCATATCAGTAAAGGCAAGGAGAAAATATACAGGCTATTTTCTTTTATGTTTATGGAGCAGAGTATCTCAGGGTGTCCCATGGCTGTGTGTAGAATGTGCTTAGAGAATACCAGGTTATCAGTATGTTTGCAATTAATTTTGAAATGGAATCCTTTTCCTTCCTGCTGTCACGTACAGGGGATGCTTGGGGACAGGCTGCAAACATGATTGAATAGAGCCTAGGACTTTTCTAGCACAATTTTTTCCAGAAGCTCCCTAAATGCAAGTATTTGCAAGGCAAGGATAGTTATCTTTCTGCATGTGTCCTTCTAGCATGTACCATTATGTTGGGCTTCAGACACAATGTAGATATTAAGCAATCAGTATTGCAATGCGTTTTCACGTAGATTTTTAAACCCACAGCGAAAGTATTGTTTTCTAATCACCTGTAATTTGAACGTGTACCTTCACAAGACCCCTTGTTCTTAAAGGAAGTTTGACGTCTGAGATGTATAATGCCAGAATCCAGATTCGATCTAAAGGAACTGAGGAAAGGTAATGGTGAAGAGCACCCATGGTTGTGTACATCAGCTGGCAGGAAAAAGACCTTGAAAGTACAAGTTCTCCATCACAGGGCATACTACCAAATGTTTCCAACTTGGATACAGTAGGCATGTGCATATCTGAAAATTAATTCTATGTGTATTCAGCATACCCTGATGAGCAATTAATAGGAGGAGACTAATACTTCTCTCTTACATTTTCTGTTTACATATAGCAAGGCAAAAGAGGCTTTCGTAAAAATGCAGAAAGAACGTGACTTCCATCGAATGCATCATAAGCGAGTGCTCCAGGAGAAAAACAGGCTTATTTGTGACTTTAAAAGGTAAAAAATGATTTTAATTACTATACATGTAACATTAAAGGTAACTTCTTAAATTGTTGCCTGATAATGAGATAACGTTGTGGAATTTAAAGTGCTAAAGTAAAGCTAGCTACATTTAGTTAGTGTCCTGGTATATAGCAGTTTCATCTGACCATTCTGCCATGTCTCTTGAACAATTTCTAATGATTTTTTTTATATTTTCCATTGTGTGATGTGGCATTAATAAATACAAAGTATTTCTAATAGTTGAAAATATAAATGAGGCTTTCTTTTACCCGCATCTTTTTCCATAAATATATAGTGATTTCTGGATTTAGATCCTTTGTCCACTTTAAGGGTAACTGGTGTCACACTGAGTTCAGAACCTTTGCTTTCATGATTCCCATAGATGGTATTTTCTGTCCTTTTACATCTTGATCTTCCTATATGAAATTTGCTATGTTGCTTTGGTTGCAAATAAGCCCAAACTAGTCCATTGGTACTGAATTGGAATAGGTTACTTTATAATATTTAGTTCCATAATTTTGTCATTCTGGAATTCTGTAAGTTTTCTATTAACTGTTGTGCTTCTTTCCCTCCACGAGTAGAACTTTTATGTTGTCCATCTGAAGATCACTGGTCCGGGTGGAAGACTTGAGTTTAGAATCTCTTCTTTGTACATGTTTATGCCAGCACTTGTTTTCAAATAACATTGGGGAGTGGCTAACATCTGCAGCTCCAAACAAGTCACAGAATTTTGGCTTGTCAATATTGTTTTCGATAAATGCATGTAATAGCAACCACATGTTCCACATCTTAATCTTGAAATCCATACACACTAATGCAAGAGAGCACTGTTCACTGACTTATCCTCTGTGTCAGCTTTTTGCAAAATGCAGTATTTTTGAAGCTTAGTCTCCTGTGTTTCTCTTGAAAGATTATATATCCAGCTTCTAGTTGTTCTGAAGAATTAAAGTGGTTAAGTATTCTAAATGCAATGTGCAGTGAAGAAAGAAATCATATTACAACTGTTTTGTCTAGATTAGGATTGTAGTTGGTAGTCAGAGAATAGCTGTAATTCTTTCTTCCAATAAAATATCACCCGTCTGCAAGAAAACAGAAATTAACAAAAATTAATGTGCAGTATGTGTACGAAGGATTAAGAACAGGTCAAAACTGGATGTATTGTTTTGAAAGATATGACTAAACAAACTATGAAACCTCTTATTGATCTGACTTCTTATTTTGGGGTTTTTTGTTTGGTTGTTTTTTTTGTTTTGTTTTTTTTTTTCTTGTGGTATTCCAGTTGGGTGGTTCCATACTAAATACCTTTGTCTCCTCTCTGTTGACCTTTTGGCACTTTTATTTGGGGAAGAAAACAGTTACACGGACATAAATCTCTGATTTAACTCATCTTTGAGGAATCATTTCTCCTCTTCTTGTTCACAGGCTGAAGGCACATTATGCATCATATGAACCAGTGCTGAAGCAGTTGACTGAAAAATACCAGACTACACTGAGACAGAAAATGTTAACTAGTTTGGAGAGAGACAGAGCAGTTGGACAGGTAAAACTTGCAAAGCTGTAAGGAATGCTTTTGGTTTTTACTTTGGTAAATACAGAGGATATTTCTGTTAAAGCAACTCACTTAAGCAATAGTTTGAAGCAGAATATTTTAGTGAGTTTCATGTTATTTAGCAAAATGTTAATATTGAAAGTATGTGAAACTTAGTGCCACAAAGTAGTAGTTCGCAGCCTGTACTTGCTCAGTGCTGCTCCGCATAAGTCATCAATGTGCAAAGCCTGTTATACTTTGTGTCAACAACTTGAGGAAAGGTGTGGTATTCCCACAGATTCATATGCTCCCATCTATGCCTTTAGAAATCTCTCATTTTAACTTTCTTTATTACTATTTACTATTTTATTTTTTCCTAAATACATCCAGGAATGATGTATTAGTTTAGGAAAAAATACATTAAAATATCAGACACAGTTTTTCTGTCTTGTGAGTGGAATAATAGAGTAGTATTTTACTCCTGTAATCTTATCTGATGTGTAGGTTGGTATACATGATATTCTGCCCCTTTAGCAGGAACAACTATGAGCACAGATAGGATGGATGAAGAACAGAAAAGTATCTTGCATGTGTTTAACAGGTTGTTTGTTTAAAAAAGGGGGGGGGGGGGGAGAAAAAGGAGCTCCCAAAATGCATTGCATTTCAGCAGTAGCATCAATTATATGTGGGTAACATAAAAGGAATTTACCATGCTTGCACTCTCTTCTAATAGTCCTCACCTCGTTTCCTCCATTCCTCTGCCTCCAATTTTTCTCAGGTCAGCTGAGGGCTTACTTTTAAAAGACTGAGGATTCTATGTTTGAAATTTCAATAAGTAAAAGAAAATGTCCTAAAGAAAAAGAAAAGTTACTGTTCATATATAGTTCTGCTGAATCAGGAGTACGAAGCATAGAACAGTTCCAATGCTATGAAATTTCAGGAACATACTTAAGACCTATCCAGTTATGAACTGTAAGCATTCTGGAGTGATGGGGGTGTTTTTTTGTAACACATAACACCATATTTTGTGGCATTTTCTTATGAGAAAGCTGTATGTCGTATTGTGCCATTAAGTTAAAGATCAGTGCAGTGATAGCAGTGGTTAAAAGTTGATGGTGCAGCAAGATACCTAGTATTCTATATGTCTGCATTGTTTTAATAAAGCTGTAAAAATATTTCGAGATTCTGGATGGCTTGTATTCTATCACATTGTTTCACTGGGCCTTTCCAAAATCTCAAATTAGGAGTAATGTTTATAACTTAGAAGCAATAAACTAAAAAATTATAGATGGAATTTATTACTTAAATAGGCAGACAAAAATGCTGTGTATTGTGAACAGACAGTTCAAAAGCAATGTTTTCATATTACCTCTTCTTGTTCTCTTTTTAAAATTAGGTTACAGGTTTGCAAGCCACATTACAAAACTTAGAGTCTGGACGTGCTATTCAGATTCCTGTGACAAAAGGTAAAATATTCCCATCGCCAAGCTCAGGCTGGTTATGGGTTTTTTTTGTTGTCGTGATGCATTTTAAAATCTGGTGTAACAGTAAATCAAAAATACTTGCACTATAAACATTTTATCAGCTGTCTTAGTGACAGAGCAGCAATTTTATCATTCGAATATTTATTCTAAAATGTATCCACTAAGAACAGTGAGACTGCTGATGGCAATATGGAATATGTGAGTAACTATGGAAGGGCTTCGTCCTAGAAATCTACTTTGTCTGATTTTATTTTATCCATCAATACTTTTTTTCACACGAGTGTTCTTTTTCAACTCACTATAAGAAGGTATATCTGGTGGTCTAGAAACATTTTGAAAATACTGGTGTTATGAAATCCAGCCTCTTATTTTAGCATGTCTCATTTTTGTGGTAGGTTGCTAAGGTTATATAATATGTGCTGGAATTATATCTTTATCTGTATGGTAATATACTACTTCTCTGGTGTTTTGAATAAATGCATAATTATTAAATTATTTTTCTAACTCCATCAGAAAAAAACCTAGCACCTCTGGTTTCCTAAGTAAATGAAGCCCATGCTATCACATTCTTTGTGAGCATCTCTCCCACTAATAATTTTGAACCTGTTTTCCAATTTCAGCTACATTTGGCAGTGAGGTAAGTCTCAAATAAACCAGATTTCTAAATGACTCTTGAAAATAGATGAGATGATGAAAAAGGGAAACAGTGAGCTCTACCTTCTTTGATAAGAATGTTCACATGAGAAGGGGATGTTGCAGCTACCTTAGTCATAAGCAGAACTCCAACCAGAGATCACAGTTTATTTGACATTAGAGAACCCCAAATTTCTCAGCCACATAGATGACCAGGTATCAAATATTATACAACTTCCAGGTGAAGCATTTGTTGCAATTAGGACTTTTTTTGTATCTGTTTCTTTTGTGTGGTTTGGTTTTTTTTTTCCCCCCAGTGTCTTAAAGGCCTAAGCGCCCTTTTTCACTGGTAATATACCCCAGCTAAAAAGCCACTGAGTTACCCCAGCCTTTGACAATCAAGCTTCATTAGTTCCCATCCATGGAGTTACTTCCACTGTATAAAATTCCTGTAGAAAAGACAAGGCTGAGAAGGAGAATAGTAGCCATGTAAACTTTTGTTTCTTTTTTGATTTGCAGTTGAGTGAAGAGGATAGCAAGCATTTCCTTGGCTAGTAAGATGGTTTATTTACTATTAATGCAGACATTTCAGCTACTGTCCAGATCTTTGCTACTGCCTGCCTATTATGAGTATAGTGCATTCGGTTTAATTTTTTCCTTCAAATTCTATCTAATGAAGGTTGAAGCAGTTGGTCTCCTAAATTGTTGTGAATTGCTACAAGCACTGGACTGAGATCTAATTATCTGAAAGATGCCCCTCATCCTAGCTCAGGTCTCGATTTCCATGAAGCAGTGGGAGGCTTCCATAGCTGAGGAGTCCCTTGGAGCACACCCTGCTGCTTTTCTAAACTACTGTTTAGTTAAGAACATAGCTGCTTCCATTTCTGGAAGAACCTGGAAGGGTTCTGTAGTCTTACCCAGTATAAACTAATCTATGATCTTAATTCCGTATAGAAGCAAATAGCTACTACACTAATAACTTCTGTAAAGATAGACTTCTGATGTGTTAATATGGTGGAATACTGAAGTACTGGCAGCAAGCCTCTTCAGTGTTCACAGTATCTGTCTGGTTCTGGATTCAGATGCCTTTTTTGTGTTAAATAGTATTGTACTCCTTAGCAAGGCACAGTTCAGGCCCCCAAAATACCTTTCTGTGGCTATATGTACTGGATATGCTCTGCTGTAGTCTTTAAATCTTGTTACAACTAAAAGTATAAACCTCTCCCCCACTAAAGAGCACAGTGCTCGTTTTCATCCTGCTTCAGATAGGGAGGTAGAGAACAGGCTTTTTATTTTATGTTAGTTTAGGGTATATAGCATTCAACTTTTCATTATACTTTGGTTTGAGGATATATAGTGTGGGTTCTTCCCCCATGCTAGTGTTTTACACGATAGATACCCCATCTGTCTATTTTTCGTATCTCACATACTTTCATTTGTTTTTTGAGCGATTCTAAAAACCGCTCTCCGGCTGTTCACAGTACTTGTTTATTCTCCAGAAATCTGGAGAGCAATTTATAATACCAAAAAGTGAGAAGCAGGGGAGCACTTTATAAATAATAATATTAAAAAAAAAAAAAATCACTTAGTCTCCAACACAAATAATTAAGCTCGTCAGCCACCCATGTGCTTGTACAAGCCTTAATTTGCTTCATACCCTGTGTATCATAAATTAAGCGATAGTTCAGTTCATTTCTTTCCAGTGCTTTGTCCTCTAATACTGCATAATTTTTATTGCCTTCTGTAGGTCATACTCAGTGAGGTCTCAGTAGGTTATATTGTCTCATATTCAGATACTTTCTGCTACCTCTTGAAAGATGGTTATGTTCCGTTGCCTCTTGAATTCTTATTCATGACACTGTATAATCAAAACCTTGAGAAGTAAGCAGTGCATAGATATTGGAGTAATGTTTGCAGCATTTCTCTCTAAATTTAAGTTCTTAGTTTGGAAGGAACCAGTGCTGTTGGACTTCCAAATCTCTGCTGTAAGGAGACCTAGAGCTGCATTTTTTTCAGTTGCTGTCTCTTCAGGGCTGACTTTTATGCATTGGTACATTGGTACGTTATAAGATATTGAGCATTCAGATTGGCAAGTTATCGTTTGCCAAGGTAAGATGCATTTTCTGGCCAGCTGTCTGCTTCCACTGCAGTGCAGAGCATGAAGGAACGAGAACGGCTCTTCCCGGCAGCAGGAGATTGCCCGTCACTGCTCCTGATGCTGCTTCTGTCCTACAACCTGACTTGACTGCAGAACACCTGGAATGCTGGCTTTGGCTAGAGCGCACTGAGAGTGGCTTTTAATTAGTTTTGGCTTTGCTGAAGTGTTTGAGATTTTGAATAGTGGCAACGAGGTCCAGCACATCCTATCCACTGTGGGTTTGGGTTTTGTTTGGTTTTTTTTTGAGGGTGTCATGTAGGGCATAATGAAGAACAAAGGGAAGCTTCGTAGTATTCACAGTGAGTTTGCATTGTAAATTTCTGTCTGGTGGCTAGGAAGAAAAAAAAAAATTAACAGTAGTTAATGTTAATTTTAGGACAACTATTCTGGACTTGTTACTTAGGTATTTTATGTAGCAGCTTTCAGCCTGATGCATTTCAAACAATGGAAGAGGATCACATCCACAATACAGAGCATGTAATTTATTTACTAGGGTTTTTTGCTGTCCCACTGCCGGACTGCTGTTTAGCTTTGCAAACAGTGCTTTGTACACAAATCCTTCAAAAGAAAGTTTTCTTTAGGTGTCTTAAAAATTATTAGAAGTTTAAGTTTTTAGTCCATATTTACTTACCTTGCTTGTTCAAAGCTGATATGAAGGACATTTAATAGTTGGAGAGGAACTAGTTGACAGTTAGGATTAGGACTCAGTCATCTTGTAGACTGTTTCTCTGCCCCTGCTAGGCTCACTCAGAAGCCAGCTCTGAAAGAAAAGTTGCATTTTGAGTTCAGATTATTTTTGAAAAGGACTAAATGTTTTGTGTAAGAAGATTTGCATTAAAAACTGGTTTTATTTTTGTTTTAAATCTGGTCCTCCCTGATGTGGTAGCAAGCTCATACATAGAGGGATCTAATTATCAAAGAGAAATCACTGATTTTTTAATTTAGGTTATTGGTGTATATTAACAGAGCAGTTGTACCCTTACTTACGGATCAAGACACAGTGTTAAATGGTGCTCTGAAAAAGGACCACTTTTGCCTGAAGGAATTAAGCAATGTTGATTGTGGTTTGCTTATAAACCTAAGTGAACGCTGCTATAACAGCTGGTCCTAAAAGCATGTTATAAAACTGTTACTTGCTCAGTACATTTCTTGTATTTTCTGAAAACAGCAGCTGCTTATTTATTACCCAATTATATTCAAAAGTTGAACTCAATGAGTTTCTTTACTCATGGTTGAATTAACTCATTGCTAAGCCTGTTAACTGTGCTTTTCCTTTTCTTGATCAGATGTAATTGCTGTTAGAAGGTCATACAAAAAGAAATTTAAAATGTACCAGTTAAAGTACTTAAACCTGGTTGTCTCCGTTCCACCTACAATGCAATCAGAATAGAAAATCTCTAAACACAAGCTGTTGACATCTTAGTGCAATTGTAACAGTTCTTTAGAAATTTTTGTTTCTTTTTTTTTTTAATGGTTACTGACTTTTTAAGGCCTTCAACTGTCATAACTCTGTTGGTTTATTAGTATGTGTATTTCAAAAGCACCAACAAACCAAATGCTCCATGAGCAACATGCTGGTGGGTAGCAGTTACTGAATGAGTAGAAAGTGTTTGACATAGAAACCAATTTCGCAGTATATCGTTCCTCAGAGAAAGTTATTATTCAGGATATCTGTGACAATACTTTAATTTTTAAAGCAGTGAGAATACAGACATTTTGTTAGACGGGGCACAGTTCTTTTTATCAGTTATGGTTTTACTCAGGTTGGGTATATAGGAAGGTTTTGTGTTTGCTTGATCTGCTTTTTTTTTGCCTCAGGAGTGGAGAGGGTGGGTTTTCTTCCCCTTTAGTAAGTCAGAAAGTTTGCATTTTGGTGTCAAGGTCTTAATAAAACTATTTTACAAGAGCAAGCATTTAGAAATGTGTAGTGTGAAGTACATTTGTTTCAGCCTGGATTTTAGCTGTATAATGTGGTTTTCAATCTGAGGGTTTTTTTCAGAGAACTGGAAGGATGTAAGTGCCCAAATCCTGTTGGAATTTAGTATTCCATTCTCTTTCCTGTAGACCCATGTACGTACTACAGAGCATTGCAACAAGATACAGGGATCACAAGAGACTGTATTCGGATACGTGTGAGCTGCCAATATGAACTGTCAGGGAATAGTATCCTTTCTGCCAGGTCATGGCAGATGCGTTGTGCAATAGTCCACGTGTGCCGTACTGTTCCTCATATTGCTTTCAGCCTATTCTGATGATTTACAGCTATGCTACCTGCTTAGGATTTCTTCGAATTACCTATTCATAAGTAATTCCTTGATTGAAAGGTGGGTTGGGAGAAAGTGTGGGGAAGCAAAAGGGAATGCAGGCTGTAAATCAGAATAATGCATTGGTGGTAGATATTGGATAGGATGCAGTGAGATGATGTTTCTTCTGGCTCTGAGGGAAATGAAGAGTTGCATTCATTTTACTGTGACTCTCTCCTTTACTGCAAAATTCAAAATTGCTGCATTTTGGGGGCAAAATCTAGGGTACCATTAGGTGAGCTGAAAAAGATCACACACAAAATAATTTGTGGAGCAGAGTTATACGTAGTCTTGGAATACTTTATGTGGATGGCACAGTAATCTGAATATGTTTTTATTTAAAGTGGTGTTTCTTTTAGAATTTCACATGTCTGGCTAATGTTAAGTAAAGAGAGATCTTCCAGAAGAGTAAGTAAAAAATGCATTCTGATGATATTTTTCTTGGTTTTATTTTATAGCAGGCCACGAATGTCAAAGGAAGAAAGGGTTGAAATGTCCCACCGAGAAATCTCTTCAGGAAGGCAGGCAGCAAAAAATCCTTGATGCTGAAAGATCTTCATGTGATCCAGTCAAAGATGCAGAGAAGAAGATAGGCAAGAGATATCCAAAGGTATGCAGAATTCTTTGCAGTTGCTCAGTATCTAATCCAAAGTACACTTAAAACTTAAGCTGTGGCGAAAAACACTTGTCCAACACGACTGAAAAGTCTGTCATGTATTGAGAAACGCTTAGTAAAAGTAAATAGGACAGGTAGGTAACAGGGTTTTTATTTTTAATGTGAGTTTCTATTGCAACTAACTTTTCAGGGAATAATAGGAATTTTGATTAGTTGAAGCTAGCAAGTTACTTTTCAGGAGTCTGATGTAATCACCCTGCAGAGGAAGAGCACTGACTCCAAATGCTTGTTGTTCTGTTATGTTTCTTTTGTAACTGGAGAAGTCCTGACCTATTATGTAGTGCTTGCAAACTTTTCAAGCATTTCAACCTGTCTGTTTCAGCTGGGTCTAAAAGGTATAACATCTGGGAGACTAAGGGCAATAAGGGTAGTTTCTTAGTAGCCAATGAAAGTTTCTAAACTTGAGTATACCAAAGGTGTGTTGCTGCTTCAGTTTGGAAGTTGTGCAAAATCAAAATTAATTCCTGATTGAGATTATTTTTTATTGTTGAAAGGAATTTGTTTTCTTTACTTTATTCTACTTGGTCTATTTATTGAGGTTGCATTTTGGGACTATGTAACAGTGCTTTTTATTTTTGCAAATCATGGTAAACATTCTAATATCTAAAATTTCTTAAGCTCTTAAAACTGTTACGCTGGCCTATTTTTGTTTGAGAACCATGGTTAGTGTTGAAACTGTGATTTTGAGAAGGAAAGAAAGCTTTAGTTTATGTTGATGTAGTTGAAATCAGCTTCAGTATTTCCTTTTCCTGTCTTCACAAGAATACGTCCATGGTGATTTATTTTTTGTATGTTTCTTATCTGTTTCTGCAAGGGCGTTGTTTCTATCTGACACTGGCAGTGCACCTCTCCTCTGACAAACATGGTATTTGATTTGTTTTCATTCCTTTTCATTCTCCTGAACCTCCAAGTAAAAAAATAAAATAAATCTATATTCTGTTGCTTTCTGAAACACTTCTTACTATGTATTGGAAATAATTCTCTGTACTGTCTCCCCACCTATTAGTATCTCAGTGTTCCTGAGGCACCTGCCAGTCAGTCCATCTTCACTTCCCCAGTTCTTCATTCAGTGGATAGCAAATTCCATCTTAGTCTCTTATAGGTATCTCTCCTTTTCATTTTGAGTTGTGAACAGACGAGTATTTCTTGGCTTATGAAATCTTATTTTTTGTTCCTGTTTCCACTGAACTCATCAGGATTTTTATAGTAAACTTCAGTGGAGTTATGCTTCACCCCCAGAATATATAAACTCTACACAGGTAGTATGCCTGTCTGGCTCTTTCTTGCTCTTTGAAATTCATGAGCACTGTTAGTTGACTGGTTCTGGCAAGCATCTGTGTTTCTGCAGGTCTTATGTTTCCCAAATGAGTCCTACCAGAGGCACTGATGTCTTTATTTAATCAATGGATTAGAAAACTGGAGTAGCTCCAGAACTAAGACATCAGAAAATATGGGTGTGTTTGAATGTATTAGATTTTACCATGGCTAAGCAATAACCTAAAACTTTAGGTGTAAGACTAACATCTCTTCCAACAATGGAACAATACCTTTTTTCACTTCAAGTTTCCTGGATCTATTATTTTTAAATATTTCCTTTCCCCTAACAAAGGGTTACTACCTTAGGTACCACATGTGAATTGTCTTTTTTTTTTTAGGCTGTTAGAAATAAATGGCAGAGGGAATGATGAGTCTGTAGAGAGTGAAGGGGTGAGTTAAAATTGTGTTTAAAACAAAGATACTCAGAACTCTGTCCTGTAGTGCACATTTGTTGAACTACAGTTCTAATCTAAGTTGATTTTTTTAAATAGCGTATTTTTACTCAGCAGTTTAGTTGTCTGAGTATTTGTTCCGGTCAAAACGATTAGGTATAAATTGCCTTCCTTAGATCATTTTATATGATATTTGGAATCAAACTTCTGTGTGGTGCCTCATCTCCTTTGACCTATATCAAAATATCTTTTAAATGCTTCTGTGTCTTATGTGACTTATATTTTTTTCTTACAAGGATTCAACACAGCAATGTCTTTATTGAAGAGTGTACCATAAATAATGGTCGTCTTCTCATTTAAAATAATGAAAATAACACTTTAAATGTTTTTTATTTTGGGGGGTGGGGTGGGGGTGTAAAATTGACTTACACGTATTCAGATTAAGACTACACTTCGTTTAAGTTCTCTTTATACCGCAAAGGAAGTAAGAGTCAGAGCATAAATTGGTCAGTTCCATGGAGTTCAGGTGAGGAATATATAGAAGAAATAAAGGCAATTAAAAATAATGTATTCAAACCTTGCGTTTATGACAAAATAGAGGAAAAGAAAACAAAGTATGGGAAATCTAGGTAAAATTCACTGTCAGATGTTGTTTAGCAGTTATCAGTAAATGTAAGTGAACATGTAAAGCTTGCAAAAGTTGAGAGTGCACAGTTTATCCAATTTTAAAATTTAGACATTCGGATTATATCATGTTCAGTAAAAAGCAGATATATTGTTGTGAAATTGTATCCTTGAGACAAAATTATAAATGTTTGTATTAACTGTACAGTTACATAGGAGTGAACTATGGTGATGAAAATGATTTAAAATCTTTTCTGTATCTTGTAGCTAAATAGTGATCTAACAAATGCCTGTGCTTACTTTTAAGTAGATGCAAATATGACTCATAGCTGAGCTAGAACATTTACTTCAAGGACGGACATATATTCTGTTGTTGCAATGTCCTGTAAGAGCTGACACGTAATTTAAAACCTAAGGTCCCTTTGATATGAAGTTTATTACTGAAACAGTGAAAAAGCAACTGGAATTTTTCTGAGAGTGTATTCTCCTGTTCTTAAAATCTTTGTTACAAGAGTCAATTAAACTATACAGTAACAGGCAATTAGGCTAACCTGTTTACATATCTAGCCCTTAATAAGCCAGTATCAACAGCATGAATATTCTTAGATTAAGAATGTGCATAGAGTACGACTTTAAACATTTAAATTAATTAAAATGCACTCACAGGTCATTAAAATTGTAGAGCACCTTTGATAATACGATTTTCATTATCCTGTTGAAATATACTTTTCCTATTTTTATATTTTTATTCTCTCAGGTTCCTCACAGAGTACGTTCTATGTTTGCTTTTATTAGTTATTAACAGGGCGATTGCAGCTTCTTTATGTTCTGTGAATTCTATTTCCACATATAATGTATTACAATGCCATTTCATTTTTTGAAGTTTTATTTGGTGTAAAACTTTATCAAAAGGTGCATCGGACATTTCTGGAGTTGACACATTATCTGTTTCTCTGGAACAGATTTTGAAATTATGGCCAATGATATATTAAACACAAAAGTAAAATCCAGTGATCATACAAACATAATAGCTTTTGTAATTAGTAAGACTTTGGGTCAAAATGTCACATGTGTACATGTATAAAACCCAAGTTTCTCCTCAGTTCTGTGGAAGAAAGCATACAAAATTTAGAAGAACTACTGGTTCTGTGCTCTCAAACAGAAGGGAAGCTAAAACCAAAGGCTTACTTAATCAGATTATTGAGCTTGAATATAAAGGAGCACAGGCATATTGGGACAGAATTGGAAAGATGCGGTCCCAAAATAGTTAGGAAGGGTCATAAATGAAATAGGCAATCATTTTGTGTTTGTAGTAAGGTTACTAAGAAAGCACTGATTTGATATTCAATAGAGAGAAGATGACCGACAGATAATACTGGGAATACTTGATTCTACAGCCCTTCACTGGTATAGTAAAACTCCAGACAGATAGCTAAGAAAATTAATACCAATTACAAAGATATCAGACTGCAGTCTAGAAGAGGGAAAAGAAAATGCAGTGTCTTTATTTGAAATGAGATAAAAAGTAAAAGCTAAGAAATTATAGACTAGACAGTGTAACTTAAATTCCCAAAGAAACTTGTAATGAAGAGATGAAATTTTACTGAACATCTGGAAGAAACCAGGAAAAGAAGTAACAGTGAAAATGGATTTGCAAGGAAAAAGTGTTTTAATCTAGTCTAAATTGCATCTATAACAGGATAAGAGGTCTCATGGATAGAAGAGGGAGCAGTAAATGTTTTAACTTTATCTTATTCTTATGATGTAAGAGCTCTTATGTTTTTAATAAACCTTTCGATACTGTCTCACAGATCATTCCTATCAGCAGCTGTGGAAATCTGGCCTGATGGAAACTTTCCTAAATTAATGGAAAACAGATTGGAAATTTGCAGATAGGTTGAATAGGCTTTTGCCAGGATATGTTGTCATTAATGATCTGCAAAATATAACAGAAAATATGCTGACTAAACTCACAGACCAAGTGAACTGGGTTTGGTGGGGGTGGAACTGCACTCACAATTGAGGACAGGAGTACAATTCAAAACTTGACCTGTTGGAGAATTGATCTAAAGAAGTAACATGCGATGTAAGAAAAGGTACAAAACTCTACCTTTAAAAAAAGATCAAATGTACAAATACAGAACAAGAAGATAAGAAACAGCTGATGAAATAGCTTTTATTTAGAAGAGGCTCTAGGGTTTGTTGTGTAAAATAAGCTTAGCGTGAGTCAACAATGACATGATATTGCAGAATAGCTGAACATCATACTGCAGTGTAAACCAGGAATATTGTATGGAGGATGTGGAATATTCTTCCTGCTTTGTTCAGTTGGCATGTAGCTTTGGCTGCAGTACTGTGTTCAGTTTGATCACAGCTCTACAATAAAGCAATAAGAATGATTAGAAGGCAATGAAACACAACTGTCAAAGAAAAGGTGAAAAGTGAAATTGCGTGGTCTACAGAAAAGAACACTAAGGGGAGACAGGATACATCCTTAAAATCTAAAAGAATTCTGTTTAAAAAAAGAAAAACAAAACCCAACAAAACAATCTGTTAGAACAAGAAGTAAAGTAGAAATCCAATAGGAAAGATTCAGGTTAT